TGGCTCTCGCTTCTCAAAGACCTCGTTGAGAGAGAACTTGATGGCTGAGCCCAGTGCCGCCTGCTGCGATGCCGACATCGCCCAAATCCCCTTGTCTCCTTGTCCGAGCTTTGTGGGCAGAGGAACGAGATGAGGCCATCCTAAAATCATATACCCCGTCTTGAAGAGGGAGGGACCAGTGGTTTTCCACGGGAAAGTCCTCAGGCTCGCACTGGTCAGTGAACCCAAGGGTTCACACCCAATCTGGGCCCAGGACAGGGCACTGAAGTCATCCAGAAGATCGTCCCAAAGGCGACTGACCCGAGCCGTACGCTTGTATCGATTAGTGGGTGGTTCCTCCATCGAATCCAAAATGGACTGGAGGCGCTCCTCGACCTCCCGCTGCGACCTGGGAGGCACAAGCAACGGTCGGAGTGCATTCCGTACCGGTACTCGTTGTCGCAGTTGAGTCATGGAGTCACTGCTGAGCACAGGACCCGACGTTGACGCATGGGTCTGAGGTGCATTGTGGGGAGGAGGCCGCGCGGGGGTGACGGTGGGGGTACGTGCGGGGGTGACGGCGGGGGTGCGGGTGTGGGTGACCAGATCATTGCCAAGATCTTGGCCAGCGGTGGCTGCAGACAGGGCATCTTGCGCCGCATCGGCGTCTTGAATCATCAGGCCTCTGAAATAAAAGTCAGTTACAAAGCACAAATGAAAAAGAGTCAAAAAAACTGACGCAACATGATGTTGCGCTCGGCTGAGGATCTCTTCATCGCTGAGATCCCCTTGGTAGATGCTTGGAATGAACTAGACACAAATCAGCAGGATGAATGGAATCTGACTTCGAGAACTCACAGTGGCCAGCCCTTCAGTTATGACCAGGGAAGCCAGGCGGGTGTCGTACAATGCATGGCCTCCAAGTGCAATCAAAAGCACTTGGAAGTTGCCACCGGTTTCTCCACGCTTGATCTGTTTTTTATAAGAAGATGAAACACAAAAAAGAGCTGATCACAAACCATGGCCTTCATCTTGCCGAGCCATTCATTGAAGACTTTCTGACGTTTGCCCAACGTCTGCAACTCCGTCATTTGTTCCCACTCGACGAAGGTGTCCAAGATCTCGCTCATCTCAGAGTTCGAGTGAGCTTCCAAGAACTTCGCCCAAGAATTGGCAAGTTCAGACGAGTTTTGGGCGGGGGGTTGATTATCTGGAAACTGACTGAGATCCCCACCCGTGCGTCGCTGCCACTTGGGGCCCCGAAACTGAGGGCTATTTGCGTAGCGCTGGTAGACATTCCAGTAGTAGCTGCACGGGGAAAACAGAGTCGGATACTGCTTGTGCAGCTTCGTTTCGACCTGGCTCTCAGTGAAGCCCGTAAGCTTGGCGGTCTTCGTCACGATGAGCCTGATCTGCTCTGCAGCATGCGAAATGAGATCCCGCTGTTCTTGGGAACGAGTCTTGACACCCTCTCCCAGTCCTGCGTCGTCCTCGGTGTTCGCAGAGGTCCCTGCGCCGGTGGCAGGAGCTCGCGGGGTCGGGGTCGGGGTCAGGGGCAGGGCGTTGTTGTCTTGGGTGCTGTTGGTATCATCAGAAAAGACAAATACAGACGAAGAAGTTTCGAAAACAGACCCAGAACTTTGGGCAGGCTGGGTGGAAGCTTCCTGTTCTTCGAAGCTCGAACGAGGCGGTGGGCTGGTGAGCAAGAGTTGGGGCGACTGCGCAGCCCACTGCATGCCCGGAGGATCTTCGTCGTTCATTTTGTTGTCCCTTATTTCGTTGTCCCTCATCTCCTCGTCCCTCTTTTCCTCGCCGCTCATTTCCTTGCCGCTCGTTTGCTTGTCGATTGCTGATATGCGCGGTTGACTATCCTTTGAGGAGCTGTCGGCGTCAACGCCATGCTGATCGTCCGCGGCCGCGTCTGTCTCGGCTGCCAGCTCAATAGATCGCGATGGGTCTTGGATTGTTGAAGGGCTCGGGGCACGGGGACTACCGACTGGAGAGGGGAGGTCACCAACAGCGTCCCAAAGAGCGCCTGAAGAGTCCATGTCCTCGAGCGACAACCCCGTCCTTGCTTGCCCAGAGGAGGATGCGGGGGGGGGGCGCGGGTGGTTATGGCGGCGTTGGCGTTGGCAACTGCACTAGCGGACGACCGGGCCTGCCGCGCCACATTTGCTGATCGTGCCAACCCCGCCCCTTTGCGCGACGCAGTGATCTTCCCTCTCAACTCGACCCCACCTCCATCCTGCAAGGGCAGATCCTCGTTGTCGCTTGGAGCGGGGAAGAGCGTCCTGATGGCTTTGAGGGGGGGAGATCGGGCGACAGTGTCTTGATGGGCGGTACGGACAGCGGCGGTGTCTTGAGCCGCACACGTGGCGTTGTTGTGGTCGCTGATGGTGGGCCCAGGGGTGCAAGGATTGGATGATGCGAGGCGGCGAGCACGGGTGTAAGGAACCCAGAGATTGGTGGAGGAGATGGCAAGGGTCAGGTGCTGCACTGCGTTGAAGGCCCATTGCTGAAACAATGAACAAAAAACGCGGTAGAGCATGGGAGAGAACTCACTTGAACGGATCCACTATCCCGTCTGATGCACCCAACCCAGAGGCGGCAATGCCGGGAAGAGGGTGGCCGGACGCGTCTCCATCCTCCTTTTGATGCTCAGGGTCCATGCAATCACAGATTTCGATGTTTTTGCAAAATGGGGGGGAAGCAAGTTTTGAGATGCGTGGTGAAATCAGCGGTTGGATGTCGCGTCAAACGCAGAAGGAGTGGAATATAGACTGTGCAAAGAGGCCAAGGGAGAAGTTCGAGGTTAGTGAACGCGAAATGCACGTCACAATGTCACCTACAAGATGGACACCCCAGGAGAGGAGGGCTGAGGGAAAAGGCGCGACAAGTGGCTGTGCAGAAAACAAACAAAGCCAAGCGTGACACACCCCCGCGCAAGTCATTCTCACACAAAAAGCACCCCCGCGTAAGCCCCTGCCAAGAGCGGATCACAGTTGCGGCGCCTGCCGCACCAGTAGTACTACCCCCGCCAACTTTCCACCCGATCCCTCCGGCTTTTACACGTAACATGAGTCATTAGACATCCCGGAACACGTCAGTCAGCAGCCAATCACAGAGCGAGTAAACGTCGTACACAAATGTACCAGAGAGCTATAGGCGACTGGGAGGTGTTATGTGCTCGGAAATCGACGGATTTTATTCCTTTCACACCCCTCTTCCATTCCCAAACATCAGGCTATGTTATTCCGTCTGTGAGTTTGGGCTACTCAAAAGATGGTCAACAAGAACTAAGCTTCGCAATAACTTGCTGCTGACCTTCATCGTTAAAATGGGTCGTTGTGCAAAATTTCTGACGGAGGCTGATCGGAAAGTTGGAAAGGCTACCAGAGACCAGAAATATGTCTCCAGTGCTCGGTATGGTCTTATCAGCATTGTGGATCTGTTCTTATGACAGAGATTATAATCTGCAGTGGACAAGCACAGCGAAGATCTACACGAGCTATGATAAAGACCCATGGCGGGGAGGCTTTGAGAACTCTTCCAAACGCTGTCGCGCCGCCTCAGGAGTTGATTGACTACGCAAGACTGGCAATCCCAATAGAAAACAACTTGTTTCGACGCGCGCTGTGCGATCCCACCACACTAGACCTATCGGGATGTGAATGCTGGATTTCAGAGCCTCCTTTCACTCCTGCCGAGGATCCCATTCTGATCAACTCACCTGGCTACTGCGTCTACACATCGAATCTCAAAAATGTCATGCATGGATCTCGAGCTCGCCTCCAGGAGTCCGCGGACTCAAAGAATAGGCTGTTATTTCAACAGGGAGAGATGGTTGCTTTGGAAAGCGATGCTGCTGCTATTCTCGCGCGCTGGGAGAAGGCATTCCAGCTGAAAGAGCAGGGACTTTACCATGAGCACAAGTTCTCCCGTGAATGTCAAATGTTAGAGCACTTTCTACAGTGGGAGGCAATAGGTTACATGACACTGTACAGTCTTTTGTTCTTGTAGAGTAATCATACATGGATTTGTACGGAAAGGCACCCCCGCATCAGACCCCGCCCGGGGCCATCAATAAGACCAAGACAAATGGCGCCCCCAGAGAAGACGGTGCTCCTGGGCCTGCTCCTCCCCCTGAGCCGGAATTTTGACAAGGTGATCATTGCAAGCGTTGAGATCACGCGTCAGGTAGCCAAGGAAGAGTAAGAATGAGGTTTGTAAGAGCATGGCAAAAGAAAGGAATTTCATCTTGGGTGATTTTGGATGCTAACCGTCCGCGAAGAACGGTGGCGATCATGACAAGAATCCAAACACCGCAATCGTGATTGTTTCACTGGACAGCTGTGGAGATCATGGTTTCGGCGGTCCAAGCTTCCCCATCTGTGCTCAAAGGAAGGGCATGTCCATTTCGATGCGCAAGGAGGGTCATGCGAGTGAGTAGTAACATAACATTCTGCAAATTATAAGCTTCCACATTGAGAACAAGCGTGAAAAGAACCTTTGTATCAGTATGCCATGGACGCTTTTGAGCCAAACTGTCGAAGAGTAGAAGCTTCTGCTCATCCACAAGGACGATGACAAGGACCCAGTGCTCCTGGGCTTGTCGATGAACTGGAATAATCCAAATCGATTTGTTCCAATATTCAGTTGGAGCAAGATGTTTCCAGAGATCTTTGTCGGGAGCGTTAAAACGGACTCGATGAAGATCATAAGTGGATAGGAGGGCACATCTATGAGCTGCCTGTGTGTGTGGGGAGAATGGCTGGAGGCACAAAGAAAGGATCGCTGCTGAAGCAGCATTTACTATATGTCCATTGAGTCGAGCTGTGCAGACTGTGAGGAGCTGCAGGTCATCTGGATATACCGCAGCATTGGGAAGCTTTCCGGGGAGCACAACAATGCGAGGTCGATGATCATGATTGACAGGGAGATTCCTGACATGTGCTGTGAGATCTCCCAAGAGCTGGGGGTCGCAAGCGGATCGAGACTGTTTCAACTCAGTCTTGGCAACTTCACAATATATGCGGTCCACTTGCCGCTGAGAGAGATGCCCAAGAAATTGGAACGTTGCAATTATCCCATTCAATTGTTGCCGTGTCTTCATCTTCGTCCATTTCCATTAAATCCATTGCAGCCAGAGCCTCCTCTGAGTCAGAATGACATGTATCAAGGTCATCTGGGGACACTATTTCAGAATCAGCAAGTGGGGACTTATTCATGTCATCCTCAACACGATCCGCTTCGACTGGATCCGGCGGGGGTCGATCTGCGGGGTCTGATGCGGGGTTGCCCAGAACCCCGCCTGATGGTGTGATGGCGGGGTCTCTGACAGAAACATTGGCGGGGGCTGACGCAGGGGTCAACGCGCGGGGGTCAGTAACCAGCCTGGGCTCCACGGCCAGGAGCAGTGGTTGTGGGGTTTTGAGTTGACGCTGCCATCTTGCAGAAACTCGTGAGAGAAAGTCGGACTGTTTTTGAAGCTCGTGTTGGAGCACAGAATCTAGCACAAAGAGTGTCAAAGAACATGCACATAAGTTGTGGGAACATACTTTCATCATTGTGCAATGCCTGAGAAATCAGCGAAGTCTCCTGGTTGATCCAGCGCAGCATGTTTTCACTCTCTCTCCCAAGTCTAAGCTCTTCCTCATGACAGCGGTCAAGTACATGCAGACTTGTGATGCCTTCACGGACACAATCATCAGAAAGCCACAACGGGACGGCTCCCTCCGATGGAGAAATCCAGATATCTTCAAAGAGATTTGTGTGAGATTTGAGCTCATTGAGTTTGGTCGGCAGAGGGACAGGAATGGGAACAGAACAATGAGGCGACTGAATTTCTTCCAGTCGGGAGCAAAGAGAGTTGAACTTGTCAATCAGGCGATGAAGAGTAGGCTGACGCTTTGAAAGGGCCTTCCGGGCCGCTTGGTGAAGCTTTGTACCTGAATTTCCAGTATGAATTTAGAAGGGACACGGCGGGGGCACAGACGGGGGTGCTGGGCGGGGGTGCATGCGGGGGCAGACGTACCCAGTGGCTCACGGCGTCCTTGAACAGCACGATCCAAGTTCTCCCACTCCAAGAATGTGCCAATCGCTTGCTTACAGATCTGTAGCTTGAGATCCCTCATGAGTAGGAGCATTTGAACAAATTCAAAAGGGAGTCCAGCCAGTTCTGGATAATGAGTCTCGAGATCAAGTGAAGTGTACAGGCGCTCAGCTTGATGACTGAGCTTGACCTGTGTGGACTGTAGATCCTTTATCGCTTCATGAGCTGACTGCGAGCTCAGTCTGTCTCCGATAGTCTTCTGAAGTTGTTCCAGTGTGTCTTCAATTTCTTCAACTTGGTTTTGAAGGCCGACAATTTTGCCGAGGTCGCGTTGGACACGGACCGGCGGGCCTGCTAAAAAATTGGAAAAAAAGCAATTTCCAGACGGCAGGTGACATACTGGATCGGAGTGATATCTGAACATTCAATTGTGCCTGCCATTGACCACGCAGGTCTGAGATAGTTACACCCGCACTATTAATCCTCTTGGTTGCTTGATTTGATTTCTGTGGAATGTTTTTATTGTGCTGACGTTCAATCCAGCTTGCCAGATTGGTAATGCCTTCACAATTGACAAATTCGACGTATTCATCAAGGGTGGCTATGCGACGTGAGCCCTGTAGATAATTCAGAAGCATGGAAGGCAGTTGCAATTCGGGGTACCCATTGATTCCGAGTGAGAGGTATCAGCTTTCTGATTCTTGACCACAATCTCTCGACACCTTCAGAGTCCGTGAGACCCATGCCCAACTTCATGCGTGGGTTGTAAACGAGTTGGCAGACCCATTGATGTCCGAAAGCATGCATAACATTGAGGGAGAATGATACCCGAGGCCATAACTTGTCAGAAAGGATGGGAAACTTCAGAATCTCGTCAGCCATGATCAAGCAATTCAGCGGGGGTGCGGCGGGGTCAGGCACGGGGTCCATGGCGGGGGTGATGGCAGGGGGGAGTACAGAAGAAGACACATACCAAATGATCACTCCGGTCAAGAACGCAACCCACATAATAGCATTGCATGATAGTTGCGTTGGGTGGGAGATATGACGCTACTTTTTCCAGCAGTGCAATAATATAGTGCTGCTGCTCTCCTGGAGTATCTATGTTGCACATGAACAAGACTTGTGAGTGGCGGCATGTCAGAGCGAAAATGCTGGTGGAGTCATAACGCTTAGGATCTCCTTTCTGCTTGTTCTCATTTGCCGCTGTCCACGACTCCCCACAGGCATCCACTATCTCTGATGGAATCGGAGAATCTCTGAACGGTTTCGGCAATTTCCGTGCCAAGATCACAGCTTCTTGAACCCTGTGGACTTCTTCATGTGTGAGGAAGTAGTCCTGGTTGAACAAGGATGGACCTGTGCCCGCGGCTCGGAGATGCCGGTAGCTGAAGCAGCCATCGGCACCAAATTGGACGTCACCGCCACTGAAAATCTTCGCGTCAGATCCTTCTGAGAGCGGAAACAAGGGAGAATTGAACGCGGAGAGTGGACGGCCCCAGTCCTTGAGGGAAAAGCACGAAGGACACTGGCTTTGCAGAAGTCGATGAGCAATACCAGGAGCCAGCAGGGAGACGTTATTGAAAGAGTTGAGACCACTTGCAGCCAGTGTGGTGGGCTGAGGTCCCGCCGTTGAGACTGGCGGGGGTAGCTCTTCAGCGGCGGGGGTGTTTGCGGGGGTGACGGGGGTGTCCGCGGGGGTCGATGTCGCCTCTGCCGGGAGGGAGCCGCCATATTCCCTTGCCAGATCATCAGAGACCATTTTTCGTATGTTCTGTTGAATGCTGCTATATACATGTATGGCCTGTGACAAGGCCTGTCGCAGGGGATCTGTGGCATGTTCACCATCGAACTGGGATATATGTCAGAGATGTTGTCCCAAGAAGCACGGTCGAGCAAAAAACTGACCATTTTCGACATAAGCTCGAATCCTCTTTTATTGTATATAGTTCTAAGAGCATTGGAAAGTGCTTGGACTGCAACACAGGAGCGTTCAAATAGCGCCTGGTATATCTCCAGTGCATTCACTGCAACAGCAATCTGAGGTCGGCGAGGTGAGGTCGGCAGTGCACCATGTTTGAGTAGGAGGATTGCAGCAGGAACACAGGAACATATTTGCACCTGGACATTTTGGAAATCTAGTCATTTGTCAGGAAAATCGAGCGAAGTATACAACACACCATACGTGATATATGGAGAACGAGGACTTGAATCTCTCTTGAGATGCAAAGTTGGTTGCCGCAGCTCTGCTTGATTTGCAAAGCCAGTGATGTAGGTGGACACCCAAAGGATGATTTGCGAAATTCCAGCAAAGAGAGGGTGAGATCCGGCATGAGCTCCGTCCAGACATAAGACGCTTGAGCTGCACGGGGCTTTCTTTGCAAGCCATGAGGTCTTGCAAGAAATTCGGGAATGAATGGCTGGTGTGCTGCCCCCACACCGGACCCCGCAATTGCCCCCGCACTTGCCCCCGCACTTGCCCCCGCGTTCGAAACTACCCCCATCTCCACACCTGCATAAACTTCAATGTCTTCCCATGCAGAAATTCCTGAATCATTTTCGTCCATCTGCTCATCAGGAATGGCATCCCCTCCTTCCCACTGCGAAGAACTCTCCATGTTGCTCCCCTGCAAGCTGCCCGGAGCATCGTCTGTTACGGAGTGCGCCGCTCTTGCATTGAGTAATGCATTCATCTTATTCATCAGCTGACTGGCACGAGCATTACGACCAATGGGTATGGACAGGACATTCCGGAGCTTATGCCTGCCCTTGACAGGACTGGTTGGTCGAATACTCTGCGGCTGTTTTCTTTGCTGTGCCTTTTTGGGGGGCATTCTAAAAGAGAGAGAGAGAGGTGAAAAGAATGGGCTTCCTTTGAATTACTGGGCATGTACATAAAAGAAGTGCGCGGCACCCCCGCCACCGGCACTCCCCGTGAAATAAGAATTGTGACACCCCACCAAACACCCCGCCAAACACCCCGCCAAACACCCTGCCGAATAGGAGGGGATCTTTTGAAGCACTGGACCAGTCCAAAGATGCCGTTTCCTTTTCCTTGGCTCAAAAATGCACATATTCCATACTAACCGCTATTGGAGGGCGAAAACAGTATTTTTACCCGCCTGCCTTTTCTGCCGATCACGTGATTATGCGCCCAACAACCCGCCGCAACGTGCAATGTAACTGACAGGCACAGAATTGAACATGCCAAATGGCTGAAAAAAAATTATTGAAAGGTCACGTGAGTGTCCGCCCACTACCCGCCGCAGTGTGCGGGAGGGGCGGTAGCGACCCCGCTAACACCCCCGCCAGCCCCCGCCAACATTTAAAAAAAAAATCGTTTGCGCAGCACGTGACACTTTCCCGCCGCATCCCGCCCAACTGGTACCTCACGTGATTGATTTTTTTTTCCCGCCCAGCTACCCGCTCTTATGGACAAGTCACATGGTATGTATGGGCACCCCCGTCCTGACCCCCGTCCTGACCCCCGCCCATCCCCCTGCCCCAAAATGGCCAGCTGCTGTCTGTACCCCCGCGGGGGGGGGGGACCTCCTGGGTACCCATAGAGCTACGTCTAAGGGTACCCAGGAAATCCCCCGCGGGGTCTATATGGGGGGTTGGCGGTGGTAACTGAGGTGCTCCCGCCGCTTGATCTGGGACCACTGCTAGACATCGTTGAATACAATTTTGTTGTTGCACATAGACTACCACCAACTCTTTACCATAGTGAAACAGGCTATATGAAAATTAACTGCACGACCCGCTGGGTCCACTGGGTGAACAACTTAGATCATCTAAAGTTAGATGTAACTACCTATTGATGTATGCACCATACCGTACTCGTCATCGTCGTTGAGGGCGGCGGTCTGTGAAAGAAAAAAGTGAGGTCCGCTGGGCCTCCGCTGGGTTGGCCCAGCGGCGTCCCGCAGTAATTTCCGGTTGCCCCACTGTTGTGAATGCACACAGGTTGAGGTTTACTTAGAATGAATTTTCCCATTCAAGGAGCGGCCTCCAATACTTTAATCATTAAAAGACGAGTTTTACTAGTTCCTAGCTTTCAGGCTAACCAATAACATAGAACTCTTATTTTCCAATATATTCGTTGTCGTCGTTGCGAACGATGAGCAGGATCATGATGTGGCTGTGAAGTTTGATGTGCGATGCGACGAGCATGATGATGATGAGGTGGCTGTAACGTTGATGTAAGACGACGATGGGGACGGCTGTGTGCAGCAGTGATGTTATAGAGCATCACTGCCGGATTGTGTCAGTGAGCAGAGGATTCCGCGGTGTGCACGCCCGCCGGACCTCCGCTCAAGTCCCGCGGGGCATTTGAGACGACTGCTGGAGTCCCGTGGGGTCAAGTGGGACCATTGCTGGAGTCCCGCGGGACCTGTGCGACCTCCGCTGGAGTCCCGCACACCGGTTAAGCACTCCCACTGGAGTCCCGCGGGGTCATTTTCCATTCCCGCTGGAGTCCCGCTGGGTTTAGTCCCGCTTTAAGTAGAGTCTCGCGGGACCCAATTCTTCGACCTCGTTGTCCTCAACAATGTCAACACTACAAGTGATGCAACTGATTGGGATATCTTGTTACTGTATCAGACTCTATGCTAAGGCTGACAGAACATTGAAAAGTTCTGCTGTCGTCGAGAGCAGGACTTCGATTTTTCAGGGGTCCTGCTGGGCCAGACCTGCGGGGGTCCCGCAGCGAATTCTGTAGGCCCCATTGAATTGGCAAACGGCGAGTATATACAGTGTGTGTGTGTGCGACTTGGCCTGATGGTAAAAGTTGCACACTGATGGCAGTGAGTTGCACATAAGTGATCCTATGTTTGATCCACTAGCAGTTAACTCCCGTCTACTGAACTCCGATTCGGGGTTCGGTTCGGAGTTCGGGGGAGACCAAAAAAGCCGAACTTGGTTCAAACTGGTTCAAACCAATGAAATTATTCAAGGTGTTTTTGTAGCTGAACAGGCTTGTGGAACCTCTTTCCATCCTTCAAAAGTTCAAATTCTATACAACTGAACTTGTTTATGGAGGCTCGGAGCATTGCGCTTTTAACCAAGTGTCGGACATCATATCCAAATGATTGATTGATGATCGGACGTAGGTAGGGAGGACCCCGGGGACTGACTGTACAGATGATTGCTAACTTGGCTCGTTATGTACTACCACTCATCAGCTCCAGCAACCTCCTCCTCATCCGAAAACCAATCAAAGTACTCTTCCGGGCCATCTTCCTCTTCCGCAGGATCAACTTGGGGTTCAATGTTGTTCAGGAGCGCTCAAAGGGCTTGATGGTAGTGGGGGTCTGTCAGGATGAGTGAGTGCACGGAAAATGGGAGAAGCCAAGCAAGGTACACACCCATGCCTTGCCCATTGTTGACGCCTCCCAGATACCCGTCTATGGCATGTAAATCCTGGAGCCCTGTCATAACTCAACTCTTTTTCATCTTATCATCGGCGATCTTATCTTATCTTGGCACGACTTATCTTATCACGGATCACGGCATCAGACGGTCCGGGCTAGGGGTTCCAGGGGTTATCTCTATCGATTCGAGGCTGCGCGACATATGCTCCGGAAGGTTCTACTACAACCCATGACCAGTGCTCCATGCGGTACATAGCCCTATGACTCATTAGTTGTAGATATGACTCAGACTGGATTTGGGTATAAATACTGTAGCTACTTGGTTGTATTCTCCAGTCTTCGAATTCACTTCTCTTTTCGACTTTGTTTTTGGGTTGATTGTCACATAATTCGAAGACTCCCCTCATACCCTCGTACCTCTTACCTCCTACCCTGCATCACTGCACCGCTACGCCCGCTGTATCCTCTCCACCCTTATCACCCCACTTACCCTTTTACCGAATCATCTAGTCGTCCTCTGCGATCGCAGTGAAGGGTTCATATCGAGCAAACAGCACCAGGCCACGGGTAACGTTGAGCCCGACCCAAGCCTTACGGTAGCTACAAGGAGTGCTGCGGAGACCTTCGGGAAAACGCACCTCGGGATCATCGGGCACGTGAAGAGCTAGGCCCGGGATCTTTTTGCTAGCAAAAGAACCTTTCCTCGAGTGCTTGTACAGCACACGAATCCACCATTTCGTACCGATTCCCATCGTCATCTGGGAGTCCATCCCCTCCCCCCATCATACCATCGTCGCCCGATCTGGCGCATCAAAACCAACCCGGACCCTCCAACCCCTACCTCGCCCTTCCGCCGCCTGAAGACGAGTTCCCCGACCTTGGCGAGTTACCCTCCAAACAACCACCCTCGTCCCCACCTACCGCACCTGCTCCTATCATGTCCGGACATCACCGCATTACCCTCGCCGCCAACCCCCCCTACTTCGATGGCGACAAGTCCAAGTACCTGGGCTTTGTGGATGCGTGCACCACTTACATCGGTGCCTATCGATCAGAATTCTCACTGGACGAGACAAAAATCCTCTTCGTCCTGTCCTACCTCCGCAATGAGAGCGGCACAAGCTGCGCCGCCTCAAGATGGGCGATGAACTGGAAGCAGCACAATTTCGAGGGCTTCCAAGGACTAAAGGCGGGGGTCACCGCGACAAGCTTCTTGGAGGAGCTTCAGAGGGCCTTTGGGGATTCTAACGCAGAGCAAGTCGCTGCCGCCCGACTCATGGCCCTTCGCCAGGGCAGACGGTCCTTCGCGGACTACATCTCCGACTTCGAAATGCTGGCTGCAGACGCGGGGTACAACGTGGTCACCTCCACCGACAGCAAGGGCGAGTAC